GGGACTGATTCTCTTAGAGTTTCGCATAACAAAATGATACATCAACTGATGACCCTGTACAGCTGCTTCTTCAAAGAAAACAAGACAAAACAAAACCCAGACCCAAACCGTAAAAAGACAAAATACAGTATTTAAACACTGCAGACCTACCAGCAACTTTTCACACCACTCATCCCTTACATGGGAGAGTGCAGGATGTCACTAGGAACCTTAGGATCCTGTGCGCTGAGATGAACAGCATCTCGGGAGACATCTCCACTCACTTGTGTTTGCTCATTTAAGGAAGTTTCTGTTTCAATAATGAGGAGCACAGGGCACTCAGAAAATGGCAAACCCTTTGCACTGAGAAAATGGTGGCTGGATTTTCATGGCAGATTTCCTCTCCTCAGCTGCCGGATGAGTGCAACACAGTGTCTGAAACACGAGTGGTTAAACAACCTACCTGCCAAGGCCAAGAAGTCCAAGCTTCGCCTGAAGTCCCAGTTGTTGCTGCAGAGTTACATGGCTCACAGAAAATGGAAGGTAAATAGACAAAGTCTGGCAAATGTACTTCCACAGTGAAAATCAGTTCAACACAGGGAGACATTCCCTCCTTTTTGGTGTGTTGCCTCACTTTTGCCCTTAAGCTGCTGCTTTTAAGTATGAGTTTGGGAAGTCTGTTTTCAGTTGTAAATTAATTTTTTCTCCTGTAGATAGATACTGCTTTTATTTTTAGCGAGTTTGGTTTAGATTTTTACAACTTCTGATTGGTATTTAGAAGTTTTACAATTTTTCTTTACAGATTCAGAGAGTTCAGATGCTACTTAGCTTATATTAAATGTTCTCTCTCTTCAATACTGGAGATATATCTTCCACTGACAACAGTTGTATTCTGTTGTCAGTATTGAGTAGGAATAGAACATAAGGCAATTTTTTGCCTCCCATTTCAGAGAGAGAAAAAAATTAGGCTCAAACCCACCCAGAGAACTCTTTAGGGCATTTCTGATAACCTAATGCTCCTTCAGAACTAAATTACATATGAAGAAATGATAGATAAGAATTTGAAGTCTCTATTGGGTTAGAGATAATTGATCCTGAAAAGTGAACACAGTGATCTTGTTACAAAGAAGCCTGTGGAAATCTGAGGGGAGCTCAGTGAGTTATTTCCTTTTCTTTTATCACGCTGAGGAGTTGTAATTCCTCACCAAGGCATTAAACCAGAGGCTTACACTTTTTGCATGCCTGCACTCCAGCTGTGTGGTCGCAGACTTCTGCATTTGCATTTTAAAGAATACATAATCTAAAGACTTATCACAGTACAGTTTGTAATGATGCTGAAGTTCACAATGCCAGCAGCCTGTTCTGCAGGACTCAGCAGTTGCCCAGCACAAAGGTGTTCTGCACTGCAATCCAGGCAAGGCGTGGGGTGCTCTTGGAAAATGAAATTACCAAGAAGAACCCATGTCAGACACAGACAAGTTCCTTTACTTCAGTTGCACTCAAACTGGGGCTGTTCTGTTTTGTTCACAGAAACATTTTTATGCGGTGGCTGCTGCTAACAGGCTGAAGAGGTTTCAGAGTATGTCTGTCAAGCTTGCGTGAGCTTGTATTGAAGCATCTGCCACTCTTGTAGATGGACATGAAGCCATGGAAGATGGACTCAGTGCCTTCAATAATTTCTACCCTTTTGTTTTATAACATAAGGTTTGGGATCTGTGCTCCTCATATATTACGTGTGTTAGTGCTAAGGTTCTAGAAGTGCCTCAAGGAAGAGGCACCAAAATAATTTTGGAAAGCAGAAACTACCTTGTATGTTTTTACAAGTTTTCAGTTGTACATAGTGATGGGAGAATGTAGCTGTTACTGGGTGGAGTTCTTGCTGAAGGCTTTGATTCTGCAGAGTATTGTTAGTGTGTTTAAACCAGAAAAAACCTTGTCAGGTTTCTGGTTTCTCACACCAAGCAAGAGACCTCTAAAGACTTTTTTCATGACTGATGTCACCAGTTTTGAAGTACTGTCACAGCAATGTTACTTTGAACAAAAGGTATCAGATATCCTTTTCCATGATTTTTTCAGAAAGATTTTTTTTTTTCCCCCCAAACATGATGATGATTCAGTGCAGCACTCAAGAGTTGAATGGTTTTGGTTTGCAGGGCTTCTTTATTCTACCTTCTCCTTTAAAAAATAGTCACTGCATAGTTAGGAAATATGAGGAGTCCTGGTTTGAAGCAAATTCAACTCCCTTGGTCCGTTGCTGCTTTTTAATGCTGTGAGTTGAACTGAGCTGAATTGATTGAACTTCTGGGAGGACATTAAGTGCAACTACCACAAATAAAAATCACCTAATGAAAGTTGGCTCTATGAAAAGGATCTTACGTAGTCCAGAAGAGATCTCCAGGCATAATTTTATTCATATTTAAAACTTGTGCTTCTCATTGGCTAACTGCAGCCTTAAAGTTTTTAAGCTTAGTTTGAGGATTTTTCTTCCTCTCTGACTATTTTAATGAAGTCTGAGGAGTAGCTGATATGGTGTGCTACGCAAAATAGGTTTTATTGCTGTTCAGTGGCAGGGAAATGATGTGTGGCCAGACCGCCTTCAGTCCAGTTAGGAAGTTGAAGCCCTTTTTTCCCCCCACTTCTCTTGAACATTATAATGTTTTCTTCACAATACTAACTTATTTTGGATTTGGAACTTTTTCCTGATGTATAAAGAATTGGAACCACTTAGAATCTCTCAGCTAAAAGTGTAACATTATTTATTAAATCTGTGGGTTTCCTTTATTCGTGTTCTGGATTCTGCAAAACTCAGTGTGGGCTGGATGGGCTCTTAGGAAAAAGAGAAACTAATACTACTAGAATTAGCTTTCCAGCAGAGGCTTCAAACCACCTTTAACTTAATGGACTTTCCTGTCCCTTGTTGGTTGCTAATAAAGAAGTTTGTAAGACTGGCTTACCCTAGTCTAGTTATCTTTTCTACTCTAGTGCTTCTCACTTTGCATAGTCCTGAATCCTGGACTTCTGTAGCATTTCCAGAATTGAGACAAAGAAGAATTATTAAAATCAAGTGAAATAATCTTGACAATGTATCACCTTCTATGAAGGCCCAGTTTGGTTCACATTTTCCTTCTACAGTGGTTCTGCGTGCTAAATGTGATGATATTAATTGGTCTGTATATTTCTGAATTAATACTAATAAATTTCATTGAAGTGGAACAAGCCTATTCTTCAATTTTGGTTAAACCCCTCCACGCAAAAACAAACCTGAAGGCATCTCTGAGCAGGTTTTAACAGCCAAATGCTGATGTACTAGGTTGGATTCTCTCGTATTCTGAGGGCTCCCTGCTACATGCTAGATCAGACTTTAGACAGCAGATATTTTGGGACAGCTCTTACGCAGTATTGGTTAATTATCCAGTATTTTCTCTGCACATCAGGCACTTGTTTGGAGTCCATTCCCCCATAGTTACTGCTACATTTCAGAACTCTCATCTGGAATGAAATTACCTCTTGCTAATTAAAGTAAAGTTGGTTTCAAGTGATTTCCTTTTTTTATGTGTTGGGAAGAGAAGTGAAAGTAAAATGGCTGGTAAGTTTTAATTTTTCCAGTTACTGTGTTGTTCTTCCTCTACTTTTGTACATATTTCCTCTCCATTTTCTACCAAGGGAATGTGCAGCTGGCCAGCACATTCTAATAGAAATAAATCCCTTCAGATTGGCAGCCATTACCTAGTTCTGCAGTACAGTGGAAGCCACCTCTGCAGCCTTATGGGGTGTTACACCGTGTCCTTGCATTTTGCTAAAAGGACACTCCACAGGTGACCTGTAAGTCACTGGAACAGTAAGTATGACAAAAAGTACTGATATTTAAAGAAGTTAATGACACAAACTATGGAAATCCTGGTGTGATGAGTGTCACCCAGGGTAAGCCAGGAGTCTGCACAGCAGTGAGGCATTTGGCAAGCCATTAAAATATGGTTAAGAAGAAGCTCTTTTGGGAGTAGCATTTCAAATCTAAATTCTCATACGTGGGATAATTTATCTTGCTTCCTATGGACACTTGGGGTTTTCTGAGCTCTTTTGAAATGAGCATTTATGAAAGTTAACTTTTCTTTGCATACCCCAGGTAGTTAATGTGCAAGAGAAATGGGCAGAAGGCTTGGATTGGCTTTATTATAGTTACACCAGGCCTGTACTGCTAAAAGTTGTGATTTTCCTTCAAAAAGTAGTTAACACAAATTGTAGTTTGAGTAGCTGGGATGGAAGTGTAGGACTGCAGAAGGTGCATTTAAGAACTATGTGGTAGGGCATTCTCTCCCCTTTGCTAAATTAATGACTGCAAAATGCAAAAAACCTCTGTATTACCCAGACAAGATCCTTGTCCCCTGGATATCTTCCTTAAAGCATGGACATGTCCTGGAGATCTTTTATTTTGCGCTCTAAGGGATTTATGTGTAAGTGCCAAAAACCTGATGTCACAATACAAAGCTTTTCTTTCCACTATCTTTATTGTTTCTTAGAATATTTGGGATGCCCGACAAGCACAAGAGACTTCAGTCCCATGCAGGTCATAAAAATAAGTCAAATTCAGTGACTAAACAATATTTCTTCAATAGTAAAAAAATAATAAAAGGTTACCAGACTTTCAATTCCTCTGCTGGTTTTGCAGTTTGACAAGGCACTGTTAGTCCCCTCCCTCTCCTCTCATTGACAACTTGCAGCCAGGGGCACAATGGCATGTAAATTACAACTTATTTACACTTAACACAGTTTTAGAATGTTACCTGTCTCTTGCAGCATGAGAAACACAGCTGTTCTACCACCTAATGCCACAGCTGCTCAGGTACCAGCCTGCCGAGTAGTCAGACAGGCTTCTGGTAAAATCCCTGAATTCTGGTGTCATTTACTAAAAATAACATTCTTAAATACTTAAAAACTAGCTCCTTAATAAAATTTGCTGGCTACCAGGCAGCTATCACTCATATGCTATTAGAACTCTTATTAGAGCAGAGGGAGAATTAAAATCACGAGGAAGCAGCAGTGATACTACTAGGTGGCACTACAGTGACAGCACTCCTACTTGTCTCCTGTGCCTTAGCAGCATTTTCCAGGATTTTCTTTTTCCATTCTTCATAGTCTTGCTTTGTTTCAGTCTTTGGCCGTTTACATGGCATCTCCTCATCATCTTCAGATCCTGTGAGAGAAGGAAAAAGTCCAGGACAGGCCACCATGAAGCAATATTTTGCTGGCAGTAACCATGGCTGTGAGCAAATGTGCAGACACAAGCCGAGGGTCTGTCACTGGTATTATCTAATCCTGAGGTTTGCTGCTCCCCTCACCTGCTTCACTTCTGTGTCTGAACAGAAGAGTTTTCTGTGGTTCTACTAAGACTACTCGGTCTCACAGCACTGCGCTTCTGCTGGGTTCTCTTTGGCTTTCCATCAGCCAGTGGTCTGCAGAGTGTGAACTGACTGCAGCTGCTGTGAACTCACTGTTACGGGCTATTACACAACTAAAGCGTAGGACACAAGGAAATGGAAGGAAGCTGCATCAGAAATTTGGACTGGACATTAGAGAAAGGTTCTTTACAGAGAGGGAGGTTGGCCACTGGAGGTTGGTCCTGAGAAGTGGTCACAGCACCAAGCCTGTCAGAGTTCAAGAAGCATTTGGATAATGCTCTTAGTCATACGGTTTAGTATTAGGTAGTCCTGTGAGGAGCAGGGAGTTGGACTCAGTGATCCTTGTGGGTTGCTTCCAGCTTGAGATATGCTATAATTTTTATGATAAAATACCATTAAGCAGCAATAAAGCTCAGGACTGCACTAGTGAGCTGATTTTAGTCCATAGGTAAACACAACTTACCATCTTCCTTCTCACAGTGCTCCAGCTTAGTGTTCAAGCTTTCATCTGTCTCTGCAGCCACTGGAACCTCTTCTTCTGAAAAACAAGTAAGTTGCTCTACTTCTGAATGGTTTTGGGGGCCTCAAGGGTGTCATTCTAAATGCTACTCTTTGACTGCAGTGCCAGTTGCTGAAATTGTCTCCTAGTCAGAGCAGTTTCCCAGTTCAGACTGATGGCCAAGCTGTATAGGCAGAGGTGCCAGGACACTTGAAGGGTTGCAGGGACTGGCTGCCTGCTTTAACTACCACTGTTGCTACACTTGTAACCACAGTGATCCACCATATGAATACTCCAAAAGCACAGTTACCCTTCTTGATTACTCAGGCAGGATTATCACTAATTTTTTTTCCCCTTCTATCACAGTTTGTATCATAGACACCCACAACATGGAGGGACTGTCTGTGCATGTGGATGCATGCTCTTGCCTGAATTGATAACAGAAGCTCCCAGCTGCCTCTAGGGGCTTTAGGAGTGGGGTAAGGTTTTGGGTTTTTTACAGGGCACTGCACTACCACGCCTAAGGGGAGAGCAGTGGCTTTTGGTTTGGATTCAGGCAGCACATTCCAGAAACTTCATGACAGGAAGTGTGAAGACAGGGTGAAGCTGGGGTAGAGTTGTGGGAGAGTAAGAATGAAAGCCTGGCAAAAGAAAAAAGGGGATAGGTAGGCAGGAGCAGATATATGAGGACAGAAAGCTGTGTGTTGTATTTTGGTCTTCCTCCTCCACAAAAAGGAGTGGTGAGAGCTGAAGGTTTGACAGGTGAAAAAGATTCCTCATGTCTGCCCCAGTGTATGTGGAGGGATGGTGTCAGGTAATGGCTGAATTACTACCAGAAGAGGAAGGTTTAGTCTTGTAAATCCTGAAGTGGAGGAAAAGAAAACACAGATGTGAGTCAGTCAAAGCAACAGAGGTCGTAAGACACTTATGTTAATTTGTGTGTCATGTTACCATGTTAGTGGGATGAGGAAAGCAAGCAAGAAGGAGGAATCCAAGGTAGGTCAGGTAGTATGGGAGAAACAGGGAATAAACTGCAGCAGCAAAGAATGTAAGGAGCAGTGAGCATTTAGGAAGAGAATATTTTTTTTTTTTAGCCTTTCCACATGCTACGCTGTTGCAACTTTCCCAGAAGCAACTACTGCAACTAGGAACTGGGCTGCAGGAAACGCATTGGAATGGATGAGCAGGTTTGGCAGAAAGGCAACGTCTGAAAGTGATCAGAATGAAATTACTAATGGAAAAGGATGGGACACCATGAGGCCAGGCAGTGGGTATGTTGTCTTACAGGGATAAAGACTGAAAACTTACTGCTGAGTTGTTGGCTCATCTTCTCCATCTGGTTGCACAGCCGGTCAAATATTGTTTTTTTCACACCAGATGTAGCCAACATTTTAGTTTTGTCCACTTTTAGCTTCAAAGACCTACAAGAGAAAGTTAAGTTATCCCTGCACAAAGCAACACTCCAGCAGCTCGGGTGAGGTGACATTTAACATACCAACACTGCCTGTGAGAATGAGGAAAGTAGCTCTGATGTTTTGTCCTGTCTAATCCTTGTCTCACTCTGAAACAACCTTGCTTAAAAATAGATGCCTGTACTACTCAGTCAATACATCCCAGAAATTAAGATGCAGTGTTAGTTCAAGTTACGAGAGGAAATTTTATTTGGAAAAGGTACTCTTCTGCTTTTTAGGGAACCGGGACAAAATCTCACTACTGCAAAAAGCTGAATGGGATCCTCGTGTCAAGAGAGTATTTGTCAGGAGCTGTGCAACTACACAGCCCCTGAGTTGCTTCAGATGATTGTTCCGAGGCATAATGCTGAGAAGGAAGGTACTTGCATGAAAGCAAATTCTTACAAAGGGTTGGCTGAGCCAGGTGCTCCTGACACTTAATCTTCCAAACTGATGCAGGCCTAGAGCTGTTGGATCCATCACCCAAAGTTCTTCCCTTCTTCAGAAGAGCTGCTGCTTGGTGCTCAAAGTAAGCTAGCAGCCATTCTTGCAACCTGAGCAGCATCTCACCGAAAGCCACTTTTTTGCTTTGTGCCCACCTCAAATCTATCTTGACAAGGGGGAAAAAAAAATCCCACTAAATGTGAAAATGTTACTAAGGAATTATGTTGTGCTAATTAGGCTGAGAGGAAGAAGGGTGAAGTGCAAAACACTACCAGTTCTTCAGCCACTGCGATGTATAATGTCTTAATGGAATTATCCACAACATCCACTTACCGCTGAACACAGAATTTATTTATTTTAGAATAGGTAGCTCAAGATCCTTTTCTGTATATTTGATATAATACTACTGCTTCCTCCTGAAGGCAAATGCAATATAGGTTGGACACTTCACTGTAAAGAAAGGCCTGGCTTGCTACAGCTGTCTCTATTTCCAGGAGTGGGAGCTGCACTAAGCAAGACCCTTCAGACTATTCAGCCACACAGAATGAATCGCTCTGAGCTTACCCTGTAAGCTCTGTGGCCAGTGTCTCCCCAAATGGGCGTTTAAGCCCTTGAAAGATACCTCAGGCTATACGCACCTGCATGCAGTGAATAGTGCAGCTGTTATAAAAAGTGGTTTTGAGAAATCAAGGCCCATCTGCTGTGCTTCAGGGAGGCTGGATTCGTACCTAAACAGCAACAATAAGAGAGAGAATTGTATAGTGCACTTGCCTTAAATGAAGCTCTTAAAATGAATTTGTCACATGGTGTTCAGCAGCTGAACAGGTTTTCTGTTGGATCACTTGCTCCTTTGCAACCCACTGAAGCAGAAACAGCTGCTATTGGCTGTGAAGAGCAAAAGAGACTAGGGAAAAGAAGGGAATTAGGATGACCTCTGCTTTTTGAATTAAAATTATTTAAAGTTAGGGATCTGGATCAAGGCTTGTCAGTAAAATTTCTTTCATGTGCTCTTTTACCTCTACATTACATCCAAAAGTTACAATGAGATGCATAAATCCATCCTAGAACAGAGGGTAGAATTATAGGTTTTTTCAATTCCTCTAATATGTATATTACATAGCTGAAGGCTTAAGTATTGAAAAGAACACATGGATTTGCAGCATTAAAGAATTTTATTTTTTAAGTTGCATTAAGTATGAACAAGCATACGCAGTCTTTGTTCACTGACCTGCAACTCAGAATATCCTAAATCCATAACAGCATTTAAACGTGTGCTATCTGGGTAACAGCACTCCAGAACTCTTCAGTCATTGCTCTTAATAAAGCAGATGTTATGGCATGCAAATTTCAGTTCAATCTGTTGAATCTCCATGAGGTGTTCTTCCTACAGTTTATACCGGTAGAGTATTGTGCATTGTAAGAAATCTACTTTTCCAAAACGGAGGAATTATTTCTACTGAGCATTACTTCTGAACTGTGACATGATCTGGTGAAGACAGTGTGATGCTATGGACAGACAGAGGGACTAAGACTCCTGTATTTTTTATCCTATTCCCAGTTGAAGAACTGTGACTCAGACAGTGACTTACTGCAACCACTTTACACATCTAATGAACAAAGAATCTTACTAGGGGCTACCAGCGTGCTCACGAGAGCTTCCTCACCTCTGTAGTATTTTTGAAGCGGTGCTCACTGCCTCTGTGCAACCGAACTGCACAGCCAAGTCTCGCATTCCCAGTCTGGGGTTCAGCTCTAGCAAACACTCCAAAGACTTCATGGAGCTCTGATACGTTGTCTTGTTCAAACCGGAGAGTTTAACAAAATAGCTCTTTCGAAAAGACAAAGACAAACCCCCAAATTAGCAGGATTCCTTCCCAGCATCTTATTCAGGCAACCAAAATAGTTCAGGAAGAAACTAGACAACACCATAAAATAAAGTTCAGTTGCTATATTAAACAAATTTGTGCAATGAATTTTTTAAGTTTTGACTGCACACAGAAGGATTAACCACCTAGGCATGCCACATCTTTTAATGCACAGTTATTTTTAGACTGTTTCACTGGAAGTGAGGTTTGTCTTTTCCACGTAATATGACATGGCCCTTTTATCACAAAGGGGTTAAAAACAAAGGTAACCAAGATCTGGGCACCTTGAAGAGTTGAGCAGTACTTTCATGCTAGTTCTCATGGGGTCAGCTCCAGTTAAATTCTCCTCTGTCTGTGAATGGACAATCATGAACATCTTGTATCAGACATTATTTTGTTTGCCCAGTGCCATTTACCTGGCAGGTCTGTAGATTACAGGTACCACTACAGAGGAGGATTCCTTGGAGTCACTGCTTCCCTCCCACAGTAAAAGGGCCAGATGTTAAATTTTAATATGCTTGATGATGGTTTATTTGTTAGTAAAAGAGCTGGAAGTATAACAAGGCAAGCTCAACTTGTGAAATGACTATGACACTGATGACACAGTTTGCCCTGTTTCAAACCAAGATTAGTGAAAGCTCTAACTCCGTGTTGGGTCTGGGGTCATGTCCGCCTTACTGTCCCCTTCCTGCTCCCAGCATACACAGAACGGTGATTTTGGTGGCCTCACGGAGGAGGCACCAGCCAGCCAGGTCATTCGCTGCGTCTTACTTTGTCAGCTGGCTGTTTCATGAAACTCGCTGCCAGGTCCAGGCACATCACGGCGGTGCTCGTCGCTGTCATTTGAGCCATTAACCGCGTGCATTTCCCCTGGGACAGCCGCAGGTACTCCTCAGCTTTCCTGCAAAACACCCCGGCACGAAGCCCTCGGTGACAAAGCCCCAGTCACGTTTCCGCCACTCCCCGCCTGCACCCTAAGGTCCGAGGCTTTTCTCACCGAGACAGGCGGTGTCCGGCTGGCGCT